AGTTACATACCGTCGGATTGCAGGCCGTTTTCCGTCCATGTATGGAGCACGTTCGGGCAGCAAGTTGATTACTCTTACTCTGTTTTGGCAAAAGTTGGCGTAGCATTCGGTGGAAACTGTTTGTTGCGTGGGGGCATGAAAGGTGGAGCACGCACGAGGGACCACACCCGCTCCGTATGCAAGAGTGAGAGGTAGCGGTGCATCAATAGTAGTATCAGCAGTGGTGTGGCAGAAGGTTCTCGCGTTGGTGTTAGAAGCGCCCCTCGTGCTTGCTGTTGTCGCAAAAGGTTGGAAATCAGCCGCATGGTATAAAGGTCGAGAGGCAGCGAAATGAATATCCTAGGCACGTTCGTCGTGACTGTTTGTACACGTCTCTGTAAACAGCATTGGCAACGTCGGGAGACGATGCGTTGCGGTCGTCTTACGCGAACAGCAACCGTACGCCCAAAATTCAAGCATGTAGAGGCGCGTGCTAAATTGGTACGCCTCCCGTACTTGTTGTGCGGTTCCCCACTTCTTCGTCTAGAAGGCCCTACCGTCCAACCCTCCTTCCGTAGAAGGGAGTGCCCACCCAACACAAAAGGTCCCGTTATTTTTTTTTTTTGCTTTACTGTTGAAAAGAACCAACCGTCCAAATCCTGAAACTTGGGTCTTAAACAAACCAGGAACCATCCAACGAGGCGAGGAAACGTAGAGTATGTTGACCTCAAAGATGCCGAATGATACATTCCCTATACGCATACAACACTCGCGGTGGATAATCCCGACGCCGCCCGTGCAACGAAGTTTACTTGTGCGCAAATCGATGCCGTTGGAACGCGGCACGTTGATACTGTTCAACAAACAGGTGTCTGACGCCTACAATCACATTCGGCCACTACTTTCTTAAATGTGAAATTATGCGAGATAAAAAAACTGCACGGGTGGCCAGAGGCAGGTTGTGCGTAGGTTGGGGCACCAACTACAACCTGGGGGGGGGGGTTGTAGGGAGGTTGCAGCCCAAAGTGTGCAAGTTATCCCGCATCTTGGATAGTGGGGTTATCGCAATCAACACAGCGGGCGGCAAGCCTGAAGAGAAAATGGGTTCAAGGTCGAAATCGGCCTCCCAACCCCCCTTCCCCCCAGGTTGTAGTTCGTGCCCAACCTGCCCCTCTGGCCACCAGTGTGCCCCCTCTACATCATCGGGGATGAAGGGAACAGAACCAAAAACCAAACCCGCCGCAACTGGCGAGGGTACTCTGGTCGAGTAGATCATGTTGTGCGGGGTGGACAACCCTCGCTCCGCGCAAAGGGGATGATCGCACCACGTTGTGTTAAAATGGTCAAGCACCCTCGAGGCAGTTACACAGTGCTTACAACTGTCTCTGGAAGTGAAAGCACCAGAAA